GATTAGAAAAATACTATAGTGGCAATATTTTGATTTGGCGTTCTCTACTATTCGTTTTCCTTGATAGAGCAGGCTCATAGAATTTCTGTTGTAGAAGCGGATGTCTTATTTCTGACTATGAGTCAATGATTAGCTGAGCACAAATGCAAAATTGCTTATAAGAACCAATATTTCTGCTTTTTATTAGTTTTGGCACCATTGACAGTGCTGAGAGAATCTCAAATTAGCAACAATACTTTTCTGATGAGTAGCAGCGTTATTAATCATATCTCGCACATTCCCACTCACGCACAAAAAACAGCAGGTCGAAAAAGATTGAAAAACTACGAAAGGGGACGCGACAAATGCTTGAATTCTTGTAAATTTCTTGAGCTTTCAAGAAAGCAAGGGGACGTGGCAAATGCTTGAAAACTTATAAGTTTCTTGAGCTTTCAAAAAAAAGCTTTCTTCTATTACTTATCTTCTTTTGACATTCTTTTGAAATTTCGAATGGTTGCTTGGGCGGTTGCGCTTCCATTAGCAAGCCCCCCGATTTCGATACCTTTGCAAGGCGAGAGATTCTCAAAGTTGAGTGCAGGATCCAGCCACCTTTCCGTGATGTAGATGTCCATATCAAAATCGTTCGTCATTTCATCCACGGAAGTAATCGCTTGAATCCATATCTCCACAGTTACAGTCATTCCATCATTTTCTGCAATTTCAATGCATAAACATATATGACACTTTCTTCTAGTTGCCATCACGTACGTGGTATCCGAAATTTGTTGTAGCCCGTGCCATTTAGGAGCTGGTCAATGATATCCGTGTCTCGTGTGCAGTTTCTAGAAGCATTGACCATTTGTAGGCGATGAATGCTTCTAATCCCTGACCCCTTGATACTACCACTCACAGTAACATACATAAGAAATTTGGTTTGCTTTCATTAAAAAAACGTAAGGGTTTTGATTCTGGTAAGGCCTCGGCACCAGGCCTCCGATTAGCAGCAGGACAAGCACTACACGCGGGGGATCCAAATCACAAAAGGGTGCAG